GGAGCTTTAAAGCCTAACTCTTTTATTTGAAAATCCTGGGCATGCCAATAATGTTTAGATTGTTTTTTATCATTATTTCTTTAGGTTCAGGGGATGGCTTTGGTACAGTCCCTAAAATTTGACTATGATCTGTGTGGGAAAAATAAAAGTTTGTTTTGCCTAAAAGAGGCCGGTGCCGGCCAATTTTAATTTAATTTACTTACCAGACTTGCTTTACTTGCTTGCTTTGCTTACTTCTACTTTTGCCTTTGTTTCCTAGTTAGTTTAGTAATTATTTCCTTTTCTTCAATGCCATCCAACCTGCTCTGGAGCGGGACCTAGAAACACCAGAAAACACCAAAAAACACCAAAAACCACCAAAAAGCTGCACTTTGTATCCTACAACAGCCACTGCCAGTGCCCAAAACAATCCAGACCCAGCACTCCCAAGAAAGATTTTCTAAATTTGTTCATCTCCTTCCAACTCCTTTCCAGCTCCTTTCCAGCTCCTGGCCAAGTTCTTGCCAAGTCCTGGCCAAGTTCTTGCCAAGTCCTGGCCAAGTTCTTGCCAAGTCCTGGCCAACTCTTGACCAACTCTTTACCAAGTCCTGGCCAAGTTCTTGCCATGTTCTGGCCAAGTCCTTGCCAAGTTCTTCCAAGTTCTGGCCAAGTTCTTGCCAAGTCCTTGCCAAGTTCTCCCCAAGTCATTGCCAAGTCCTGGCCAAGTTCTTGCCAACTCCTTCCAACTCCTGGCCAAGTCCTTGCCAGGTTCTTGCCAAGTTCGGGCCAACTCCTTGCCAAGTCCTGGCCAAGTTCTTCCCAAGTTTTTCCAAGTCCTGGCCAAGTCCTAACCAAGTCCTGGCCAAGTCCTTGCCAGATTCTGGCCAACTCTTTGCCAAGTCCTGGCCAAATCCTTTTCAAGTTCTTGCCAAGTCCTGGCCAAGTCCTAACCAAGTCCTGGCCAAGTCCTTGCCAGGTTCTTGCCAGGTTCTGGCCAACTCTTTGCCAAGTCCTGGCCAAATCCTTTTCAAGTTCTTGCCAAGTCCTAACCAAGTTCTTTCCAAGTCCTGACCAAGTCCTTGCCAGGTTCTGGCCAACTCTTTGCCAAGTCCTGGCCAAGTTCTTGCCAAGTTCTGGCCAGCTCCTTACCAACTCCTGGCTAAGTTCTTGCCAAGTTCTCCCCAAGTCATTGCCAACTCCTTGCCAGGCCTCGCTGGGCACAGCTGCCGTGACGTGCAGCGGCTGCCCCTGCACCTTTGCCTCCTCCAAGCCCAAACTGCAGCTGGGGGGGTTTTCCTTCTCGTGGCGATCGGCAGAGAAACGAGTGAGGGTCTTCAGCCGGCCTCTCCCACTGCCCGAACCAGAGGCAGCCCCCTCAGCCAGGGCAGCGCTGCGGACCCCAAACGGAGCCGCCCCCCGCCCCAGGTGCGCCTCACCTGGGCAGGCCACAGCGGCAGCGCCCCGGCCATGCTGGCACTGCCCTCCCCGCTGTCCCCGGGCACTCCTCCGCCCGCAGGAGGGGCCAGGGCAGGAGCAGCCCCCCGGGAGGGCAGAGCTCCCACCTGAGGCCGCAGCCCGGGGTTCGCCCCGCGCCTTCGGCCTCACCTGAGCCCGCACGCCCGCCCCGCCCGGCCCCACAGCACGCGGCACCGCTTTCCCGCCGGAGCGGCGAACAATGTGCCCGCTTCAAACATGGCGGAGGCAGCGTCGCCCCGCCCCCGAACAACGGACGGGATAGTCCGGGCGGAAGCGCGCTCGGGAGGAAGTGGGTCCGTCGCGAGTTGGGTCCCCCTGAGGCGGATGCGCAGGGCCTGGCGGCGCGGCGCGATGGAGGCCGGTGGTCACGGTGAGGGGAGCGCGGGGCCGGGCGGGGCCCGGGGGGCGCTGCGGGATCGCTCCACGGCGGGACGGAACCCGCGGGGACCCCTCGCTGACCCTGCGTTCCCCCTCACAGGGCAGGAGGCCGAGGCGGGCGGCCATGGCGGCCACAAGAAGAAGCACAAGAAGCACAAGAAGAAGCACAAGAAACGGCACCACCACGAGGCGGGGCCGGCCCCGGGGCCCGAACCCCCTCGGCAGCCGCGGCTGCGGCTCCGCATTAAGCTGGGAGGGCAGATCCTGGGCACCAAGAGGTGAGGAGGGAGCTGGGGGCAGATCCCAAGCACCAAAATGGGGGAGGAGGAGGAGGAGGAGGAAGGGGGGGAGGCAGGGTGTGATTCCATGTGTCCCCCCACCCCAGCGCCCCCCAAATCTCCTCTGTCTCTTGCCCTGCAGCGTCCCCACGTTCACGGTGGTCCCCGAAAGGCCGCGCTCGCCGTCCCCCTCCCCTCTGCTGGCAGGGGACGAGGAGGAGCCCAGCGTTCCCATCGAGCAGTACCGGGCCTGGCTGGGTGAGCAG